TGTCCTGCCGAGTTTTGATTATCTTCAAGGACAGAGATTACACAGCCTCTCCAGGCAGTTGGTTGGTGTCTGCCCAGATGCCGCTCCTCAGATTAAAACTAGTAAAAGCCTTCTACAAAGTGTCCTAGAAAGATTTAAAGTATTTTTCCAAGAACAAGGGAAAAGGTGCAGATTGAGATTTACATGGCAAAAGCAGTTGTTAGCGTATCTACTGACATTTCAATACCAACTTAGGAAAAACATACATTCCCACTGTTATGCACTGGTAAAACAATACTCTGAAAAACGCAGCGTAGCCTAAGAGGTCTCACTGCCTTCTCTTTCATTTTCCAAGGGAGGAGCCTCGTTTTCAGGTCCCATTTCAGCTTCTCACCTCCCTTATGGATATCGATGTGCTCATGACCAAATGGAGATGTGAGTTTTACCTTTTGACTGTAACAGTTCTACTTTTAGATGCCAAGTAAACTGTTCTGTTTCACCCTCTTTTGGACAAGTTATACCCAGAGTTTTAGAATTGAGCTTCCGAGTTCATAATTTAGGAATGACTTTTTCTGTTTGTACTTCAGCCAAGAGGAAAGATGAACAGCGTCTCCTGTGATCGTTAGATATGTAGGTGTAGCTGTCATTTCTGTGATATGTTTTAAGTCAGGTGAATAATTTTATTTAAGGGCCAGGTATATATTTTCTCATGTCTGCCAAAATGTCACAATGACAACTCTTCATATGCAAATGTGCCTTCTGCTCCTTCCCTATCTACACATCCAAAAATGGACGTGTTAATTCTGTATTAACAGAGCATAATGATGTATGATAATTAGTGTGTTTATTCTGTATTAATAATAGATTTATATTAGTTGGCTGGAGTGGCACAATTAACTCCTGCATTGCTGAAGACCTAGTAGTTCTGTCTCTCTGTAAAGATCTCTGTATGATCTTTAGTATTCCACTGATGCCCCTTGATGTGACCCTTTGGTAATGTCTTAACAATGACCATATACCATATCCTTTTTTTTGTGCTAGATAACCACGTCTGCATGGTGCACAGAATGATTGGCAGCAAGGCTGGCACCGGAGGCTCATCAGGCTACCAGTATTTGCGCTCCACAGTGAGGCAAGAACAATGCATTTCCCCCATTACCTGCCCTAACACGGTTTGTAGACACTGTACTGCCAGGAGACAGATTCCAGACAGCTCGTTGGAGGCCAGAGGGCTGTTGTTTCTCTTTGGGACTCCAGCATCTCCTCCCAGCTGTTAAACATTTACTTATCAAGCTGAGATACACAAATTCCAAGCCTTGTGGGGCAAAAACAACTCTTCCATCACTCAAGCAAAGTGCCATTTATAATTCTGTCAAGGGATCTAGGTGCTGTTGTAACTGCAGTAGTATTAATCCCGCAGGGTTTGGTTTGTGTACAAGCCAGCCCCAGTTAAGGAGGTGACACGGGCTGGAAGTGTCCCCTGTCCTCTGTGTGTGATTGGCGACAGTCCTTTATTCCTCAGCAGACCCTCTAATCCTGTAAGATAAGGTGCTTCCATTTTGGACTGAATATATTCTTAAAGGTGACAGTAATTAATACCTCAAGCTGTGCAAGCAACAAACAGAAACAGGTTTCCTTCTGTTGGATGAAGCAGAAAGGGAATTAAAAAGGGATAGTTGAGGCCTGAGCACAGAGTTCACTGAATTTGAGTATTTGGCTAGTTAGATGCTTCAAGGGTTTTAGCTGCAACTATGTCCTGAGAGTCCTGAACCACATTATGGCAAAAAGCACAAGGATATCTGAAATGTCCTGTCTTCTAAGAGGACTTTCCTTGAGGTTTGTTTTCAAAGAGAAACTGTACATAGCTGGTAGCTGCCCTGTATGGCCATGGGCGACAATTTCCATTGTGACAGAGGGTGGAATCATAGGTAGATTGTTAGACCGAATGCCAAGATTAAAGGTTCGCTGTCTTTTTCAGCAAGCCTTCCCACTCTTCCCTGATTTCAGATTAACGTTCTTGTAGACAGATTCGACTTTATATCTACCGCAAGAGTGGAGGTCAGGACGTTGTCGCCTACATGCTCTGAATTTTCAGGAAGATGTGACTATAGCAACCCTGCTTCATTTTAAATCTAATCTGCTATGCCCTAGCAACCGTTAGGATTGGATTCTTACTCTGGAGAGTTCAGGAGGGTTAGTACAGAAACCTTATTAAATTAATGAGAGATGGAATGATTCCAGAGGATTTGGAATTTGTGTCCTCCTATGCCAATATAGTGGTATTAATTGTTCCCCATTGTCTTTTACAGTGACAGGTACAAGGTGTTTGTGGATTTGTTCAACCTCTCCACATTTCTAGTGCCGAGACACTGGATACCCAAGATGAACCCAACCATTCATAAGTTCCTTTACACGGCAGAATACTGCGACAGCTCCTATTTCAGCAGCGACGACTCGGACTAGCCTGCCTCTCTAGACTGTTGCTGTAAAGAACATCAGGACTTTCACCTCGAGTGGTGCTGCCCCTCCAACGTAACAGCAATTCTCATGCAGTGCGGGTGTGTAAATATGTATTTATGTACGACAGCGATGTGAATAGCATGACCGGTTGACTGAAGAAGCTTTGATTGTTTGTAGAAAAAATAATCTGTATCGAGTCAACCTATATTAGGACTAAAATGATACACCAATTCAACTCAATGACCAGTTTAACTCTTAGCTGGCTTCTTGAAAGCTACACCGAGAGAGAGGAAGCAAATTATACAGAATTATCCTATCTTATTTGTACAGAGTTTTGTATTTGGTTGATGGCTGTTGGTAATCTACTTCTTCGAGCTGAGGACGTAATCAGTTTCATCCCCTTCAGAAGCACATTGGTTTCTGAGCTCTAGTGGGACTTCAAAAGGAAGTTAAGGAGGTTAAGATCTTCAAAAGCTAGATTTAAAAACAAGAGTCAGTCCTGACTACAGACAACCAAGGCTCTTGAACTTCTACCTACATCAGGAATAATGTTGTCATCTATGCGACGTTACACGTGGATGTAAATCCCTTCAGCAGAAATACTTACCGTTAAGAATAGCAGATATAAATACTTCATTTGACCTTCAAATAAAGCAGTATTAAAGCTCTTCTGTTGTTAAAGACTTCTTCTAAAGCAAGCATAAAGTTCAAACAACATTACGATAGGCATTTGAACTGTTTTTTATTAAAAGTATCATAGAAATAAGTGTAGAATTGATACATAACAAAAGCAAGTCAAATTTGGCCATGGAATATGGATAAACCTGCATCATCTTCTCGTTAGATGGACGCTTGTCTTTTTAAATGCTTCCCTTGGGAACACACATATGCTGCAGGCCTTAATTTCTGCCGAGTTGCTCTGTATCTTATTGCTTTAGGTAATTACGCCTGGTAGTACCACCTCAAAACCACTGCTGGAAAATCTGTGTTTGATACTACTCTGACGTTACTCTTACCAATGCCAATTAGGAACTTCGGCTACTGTTTTTCAGTTACAGAAGTGTGCTCTCTGTCATTTGTAAACTGCTAAGGGGAGGCCATACTACAGGAGACTCCAGGCCTACAGCAGACCTCCACTTTGGTTAAGCTGAAGCTTTCAGCCAGTAAATTCAGGAAGTAGCAGAACCTGACATAGTGAAATGCAGCACTAGGTCTCTTCCTTTCATTTAAAATATTAAAACTTAGAAGTAGAAGGGCTAAAATGGCAATACTTAAAATGGACAATTATGATTGCACTTGTCATAAAAAGTTAATCATACACTGATTTATTAACATGATAGAGTAATGGAGTGCAAAAACTACAGAACTGCTTCAGTACTTTTCACTGTAGTGCTTCAGAAAAGATTACAGGTACAGCATTACAGATGAAGACACAGAGCAAATTATATGTTTGGTTGTGAATTCTGGTTATGTTTCCTGGCAAGTGCAGCTTCACAGATCAGCAAAGCTGGAACCACCTTTTGATTCCCAGCAAGTCCCACCTGTGAATTCAATTAATGTAGGG